AACCGGGCCGGCCCAAAAAACAAATTAGAAACTTCCCCGGGGGAAACCCCTTTTTTTCCCCCCCTTAGGGCCCCCCTTAGGGGGGGGGGGGGGGGGGCTCCCAAGGAGGGAAGGAGCGCCAGTTTAATATCCTCCATCACCCTTAGATACATACACTCGCGCAATGAATAACGTACAGCAGTGAGAGCATTGGCGTTATTACTCCTCGAGGCCGAATCGACCGAAAAAAAATAATCAGTCTGACATTCACGGATCCCCCTTCCCACCGTCCTCTCTGGACGGTGAAGCGGGGAACCAGAGTACAACCACATGCACCTGCTAACACCACCAAACCTCACCACATGCACATGCTAACACGACTAAATCTCACCACGTGCGCACGCTAACAAGACCACATATCACACACCTCTCCTACTCTCCTACCCTCGTACGGCGGTGCCAATACCTGTCGCGCCGCAGCCGCCGCGTGTCGGGTGGTGCGCCACCCACCTGTAGAGTGAGAGGTATCGCCACCAGTAGTAGCACACCGTTAGCAATTGCCAGACTCTTTTCCCTGTACATCCAACACAACCACACCGCAACCACCCTCCGTGCGCTTGAGTCTCCGCCCGCTCTCGCCACCGTGCTTCTCTCTCTCTCTCCCTCTCTCTCGCCTCGCCTCGTACCTAAGAAACAATCGGCGACACAAGAGTCAAACGGAAGCGTCTGTCCGACATCTCTAGACTACTACTCCACCCAAGCGCGAACCGACGGGACCCCCCGCCGCCCCCCACACATTCCCGACTCTCGCGCGCCCCAAAACCTGCTTCAACACCACACTTTTCAACAAGAAGCTTGCCCCCCCCGCGCAGGGGGGCCGCACAAAAAACCTGCACAGCTACAAATACCCAGTTCCACAGGACGCCGTCTTTTCCCGCCACCGGAGAAAGGCAGCTCACGGTAAGGAATCGCGACCAAAACCCCCACACGCTACCGAGAGGGATTGTTAGAGAGAGACTACTCTAAGAGTTGGTAAAACAGAGCTAATAGCTAAGGTCTTCATCTCACACTACAGACTCAAACCCTCGCATCTACAGCGGCAGTGGTGAAAAAGAGCTTTTCCTGCTGCCTGTCCTTCTAGCGCCGCCCCTCCACGCCACGAGGCACTGCTCGGAGGAGGGCGTTCCGATGAATACTGCATCTCTCCCGCTCTACAATAGATGCGCTACATACCCACAAGCTCTTAAAAAGACGTGGCTAAAACTCGAACACGTAAAACCCGATCCCAACCGAACACCAACAACCTGACCCTATTCCAATCCAACCCCGCAACGGCGGTCGCAGCAGCAAGGCCTGGTCCACCTCCTTCCTCCGTGTGTGCCAGGCAGGCAGGCAGGCAGGCAGGCGTCGCAAGTCCCGTTCAGCTGGAAGAAGGGAAAGCCTTATTCAACACCTTCACCGTCCACTCGAAGGTGGGGAAGATGGCGGCGTTCACGGGCACCGCGCGCACCACGGTCGTCGAAACCCCTCGAAAGAAGCGCCTCACTCCCGGTACGCCGCCGCCGGCCGTCTTGTACACGTGCCGGAAGCACGCCGTCATGCTCCGCGTGTTCGGGTCCATCGGGTCAGCGGCGGCCTTGGGGTTGACGCGATAGGGCACGCGGAGGGGGGGGGGGGGG